GAAAAATCCACATTCTATAGTAATTTTCTTAAATCAGACTGAATAGTAAACTTCAGTTCTTCTTCCCAATAAAATTAAAAAGAGAAGCGAAATGCAGAATAGGTGAAAAGTAAACGGAGATCCATATTTAATAATAACTTCCTTATAACAGAGTTAACAGTAGGCAACTTAATAAAATTAAGAAGAGTGGCGAGATGAGACGAAGAAGAGATGAAAAGAAAATGGAAATCCACATTTTATAATAATTTTCTTAAATCAGTATAAAAACTAAACTTCAATTTTTCCTTTCAATGAAATTAAGAAGATAAGCGAAATGAAGAATAGATGAAAAGCAAATGAAAATGCATGTTTAATAATAACTTCCTTACATCAGCATTGACAGTAGCCAGGAAGTGAGCAGCGACATGTTCCGGCAGTATATTCGCCAGCAGTTTTTGATTATAGGCCTTCAAATGCTCCATCTCTTCCTTCTCTTCCGTCGCTTGTAGCTTCCACAGAAAGTCCAGCCTACACTCGTTCATAAGAAAAACCAAACGAAATACTATAATTTCTCCTAACTATTCTTCATTCTTCGATTTGACTCCCAAGTGTAGGAGACGTTCACCTGTAAGTGGCTTCAGTGTGTTGGGAGTGGACGATTAGGCAGGCCATAAAGAAGACCACGAGGACGCCGGCTAGCCACCGCTGGGTCGATTCCACGCCTGTTTCGTGCAGGGCCTCGTAAATGCTGATGGCCAGGTAGCAAACCACGACCAAACTCAGTATAGCCACTTTGAACACTGATGTCAAAATCTGGTAGACCGCGCAGGTGATCATAACTAGCATCACCAGCACCGGGAAAAGCTTAACAAAAATCAACCATCGTTCCAATTAAAAATGAAGACTGACGTATTAATAAAATCAATAAATTGGGTAATTCAGCAGGTATTACCACCTCGATTTTCGTCGTTATTAAACATAACAAAAAACGTTTATGTACAATATTGAATGGTTTCAAGAGAGTCTCTTTTCAAGATTATAATTGAAATTATATAAACAATTTGTCATGTTATAAAAATTGTTTATTTATTAATTCAGTTGCAAATTGTATTAAATGAATTTAGTAGCAAATTCACTATTATCGACGTTTAATTATAAAAATGGTACCTTTTTTAACACTAGATTGCCCAAGGAAGTCATTTTGAGTGCTTTTGGGCAAATGTACA